TTATTAAAATGAATATTGCTCTTTTCACACACACCTCCCCCCCCCCCCCCCTCTTTTCTTTTTTTTTTTTTTTTTTTTTTTTTTTTGTCTTAGCCGGTCTAGCTCAAACTAAGTTGATCTGCAATTCCCTAAAAAATGGGATACAGAGTTCTTTCATTCAAGCCCCTGCCACACGGGAGGAATTTGGCTACAGGAATGTCAAACCATGCATGAAAGCTCAGTCAAGTTTAATCATGCCATCTTCTTAGTGCTTTCCAGGCCAGGTGAAGTAAGGCGATATTATACACCCTTCTAGCGTCCCCTCCACCCGCCTACAGCTCAACTCCTGAGCTGTAGGAGTTTGTCCCCTCCTACAGCTCAGGACAAACTCTATATTCATGTGCTCGATCTTGCAGTTGCTCAAACGCCCCACAGCAACTCCTGGGCACACCAGCCCCCTCCATCGCCTCCACAGCTTCAGCCGCTGAGCGCAATGCCACGGAGTGAAAACAAGCGCAGCGCCTGCTCGGTTCACAACACCATGTGGAGGACATGCAGTATCTTTTGCGCATGGACTCTGCTCTTCCTGACAGAAGTCTGTGCGCAGTCTCAGCTGAGGTATATGTTTTCTTATTATTTCGAACGTATGTAACAGAAAGGGTGACGAGGACGACAGGAGGGGTTTCGAGAGGAATATTCTGCAATCTGAGCTGCCTCTGGCCATATATTTAAGCATTCAATGTGGTTTTTATTTGCTAAAAACTTATTAAAATTCATATCACGTTATGTTTTTTTTTTTTTATTTTTTATTTTTAAATCCTGTTTTGTTATAATGTCATTATGTGAAACTTGTCCCCTTCAGAACCTTTACATGTGGCGGAAACATCACAGGGGAGTCTGGAGTCATCGGAAGCCAAGGTTACCCAGGAGTTTACCCTCCAAACACCAAATGCGTGTGGAGAATCACAGTGAGTCCAGTTAGCTGCATATTTACCTGTTTGTTAACCATGATTTAAGAACATGATGGAGGAAAAAAAATAAGTTTGATGGTTCCAAAAATTCTAAAGAGTTGAACTAGTCAAATATGACAGATCTAACTACTAGTTTCATTCTAAAAATACTTTTGAGCAGCCACATCAGACTGAGTTTGTTCTTTCTTTAGCTGCTCGGTTTTTTACGTAACTCTACTCTTAGGCAGGAGCTGATTGAGATGCTGCTCTGTACAGTATGTTCTTACCACCTCAGCATATGGAATGTGCAGAACTGGTCGACAAATGTATCTTTAAAAAAATGTTTCCAGACTTTGACTGGGCCATTTTAACACTTAACATGCTTTCATCTGAACCAATTTCAGCAATGCACTTTTTCTTGTCGATGTGCAGTGAAGGGCAGATTTGTCATGATGTAGAGGAGCAATAGTTGGGCTCCTGATAGATTTTCCCACTTGAGCTGTGGATCAGTGCAGCTCCACCAAAGTCACAATTGGTGACGAAAACCAAAAACCAGGAGTTGTTTTCCATCTACTTCACAATGATGCACAACTTTGTATTGATGTGTGATGTGAAACCCAAATGAAATGCATAGCAGCAGTAAAATACCACATCGATTAGACAGTTTGCTTTGTCCATTATGGGCTGTCTAGTTTGGAACACATTACCAACTGAATTTAATCTAATTTCTGAAATGAAATTATTCAAAACAAAGGTTAAGAGTTGGATGAAAGACTAAGCTGCACCCCTTCATTTACTGTGTTTTGATGCAGATCACATTTGACATGGAAGGTATTTGTTTATCATTAATTAATTATTTGCATTGGATGTTGTTTTTATAATCTATGTGACATTCTACTTATTCTATGCACCACAAGTGCATGGAGCAAGTAAAACCGTGTCATCATTAAAAAAAGAACTTTTGCTGTGTTCTATGCCATGTGAAATTTTCAACCTTAGGTTCCTGAAAGCAAGGTGGTCATACTGACATTTCGCTCGATTGATCTGGAGAACGACAACCTTTGTCGCTATGACTACGTGGACGTACACAGTGGTCATGTCAACGGGCAGAGACTTGGTCGTTTCTGTGGGACCTTCAAGCCCGGAGCCCTCGTGTCCACAGGCAACAAGATGCTCCTGCAGATGGTGTCTGATGCCAACACTGCTGGCAGTGGCTTCCTTGCGGATTTCGATAGTGCCCCTCCTCATGAGAGAGGTAGGCAAGAAGATAGGAACATGGTTACAGGAGATCCATTCTGACAATGGCTGTCTCAGGTTTTCAGGCTCGTATAGCGAGCACTGCGATGGTGTTGCAAAAGAAGTTGCCCTCGAACTATGTAAGATATCTAATCAGGACGGAATTTTCTTTCATTCATTTCCATTCATTGCAATGAAAAACAAAACAAAACTGGCACTTTATATTTACATTGTTAAAGTGTGCAAAAGCTAAAAATGAAATTGTCTAAATAGAAAATTGTTTTTACAGAGTTTCATTAAATTTCCTTTTTTTAAAAGTCTTTCTTTTAAAAGAAAGACTTTTCTTTCTTTCTTTCTTTCTCAGTTGCTGGCTGAGAAATCACTGATGAGAGTCAATAAAAAAGAAGAAAAGAAAAAGAAAATAGTGCATTACAAGTCGTATTTGAATTAATTGATTTGTTTGTTTTTTTTACTTTTTTTTAAATAGAATTTATTTAGCCCAGATGTCAAAGAAAGCATCAAAATAGCTTATTATAGGAATGCTAAATTTTAAAGCCAACTTAAGAATCAAGTTGTTTCATGATTTGTGGAACATAATAAAAAAAGCCAAAACTTCTGGAACGTTTGAATGAGTCTGGAAAAGCATGGAGTTTTGAAATGTGAACTAGTTTGCACAATGGAGACGACCTTAATTGACCTTAAGTGCTCTTTGCGTTTTAGCTTTTGGTGTCTAAATTGTCCTGTACAGGACTTGAAAATAAAAGTTCCTGCAAAGTAACCAAGAGGTGCATGTCAGTTTTTACTCTCAGCATGATGTGGAATTTCTCACTGCTGTTTTTTTTTTTTTTTTTTGCCCTTTGGAGGAATTCAGTTAAAAGCCAGTCTAAAGCATCACTTAGAGATAAATGAGTATTTTTCTGTTTGATGCCTCATCTACTGTCTTTTCTGTGGAATTTTAATGGATGGTTCCTTGTACTTACCCATGTTCACAGCTGTAATGGATACTGTCTCGGTGTCTAGTTTGCTGGACTATGTCTTTATCGTAGCAACAAAAATAGGTTCGTATCTGAGCAGAGCGACATACTCTGTTTTTGTTGCAGTGGTCAAATTCTTTTCACACGCAGAAAAATAAGTTCAAAAGTTCACACTGACTGAACACATTTTAGAGGAGCTCTTGAATAATAAATGACATTTGAAAAATCACCCACTGAAAAACAGCTTGACATTTCACCCTCTGTCTTCATAGGTGACCAGTACTGTGGAGGCAGACTTGATAAGCCTTCTGGGACTTTCAAAACACCTAACTGGCCTGAAAAGGACTATCCAGCTGGTGTCACCTGCTTCTGGCGTATAGTGGCACCAAAAAACCAGGTCAGTCAACTGAAATTACAGGGGCACCTTAGAAAATACAAAACATATTAGTCCATTAATTAAATACAAAAATTGCAACACATCTGACATAAAGCATTTACACGTGGGAAATTAGTATAAGAAGTTCGAGGAGCAGTATCCAAGCATAATAATGAAATATTTAGTGGAAGAAAAAATATGGTAGCAAAGGAATATGAGATCATTTCTAAGAAATTGAATTTTGAGTTTTTTTATTGCCTGAGAAACAAAACTATTAAATTGATTTGAACTGATCTACCTATATATATATATATGTTTTTTTTTTTTTTTTTGTGATATTCGAATTAACAAATATATTCCCTTGAGCTTTGTGCAGTTCAAGTATCCATTACTTAGAAGAATGCAGGGCTATAAAGACAATTCATCTGTGAATTATTCACTGCTGCAGATCATCGAAGTAAAGTTTGAGAAATTCGACGTTGAGCGGGACAACTACTGCCGCTACGACCACGTCTCCATTTTCAATGGGGCAGAAGTAAACGACGCCAAAAGAATCGGCAAATACTGCGGAGACAGCCCCCCAGCGTAGGTGATTTCTGTCATGCAGAAGGTACTATTTTCTAGTGAAAATCTCCATCTCGTGACTTCATCTCAGTTCATCATCGATCCTTCTTCTCTGTGCCGCTCTTCAGGCCAGTGTTCTCGGAGGGGAATCAGCTCCTGATCCAGTTCCTGTCCGATCTCAGCCTGACTGCAGACGGCTTCATCGGACACTACAAGTTCAGACCGAAGAAGCTGCCCATCACCACCACACCACCAACCACCACCACACAGCCGGTCACCACTAGGCCCATACGTACGTAGTAACTTGATTCCTAATATATATATATATATATATATATATATATATATATATATATATATATATATATATATATATATATATATATAT